TAAGGGGTAAAGTAAAAAAAAAAAATTGAAACAAAGAGAACAATACAAAGAAAAAACGAAATGAGGAGTTGGTTCTTTGAAACAAACAGCAAGATAAAGAAACCCCTATGTAAAGTAAATAAAATACAAAGAGAGAATATCCAAATTAACAGAATCAGAAATGAAAAGAGGGACATAACAACAGACACTGAGATAATGGAGAGAATTACTAGTTCATAATTCAATAACCCTTAGTCCATAAAATTGGAAAATCTGACAGAAATTGTAAAGTTCTCAGAAGTTGTATTCATAATACTTAGAACCTGGAAGTAACCTAAATGCCCCTCACTTGAAGAATGGATAAAGAAAATGTGGTACATTTACACAATGGAGTAATACTCATCTGTTAGAAACAATGACATAAGGAAATTTGAAGGCAAATGGATGGAACAAGGAAAATCATCATTAAATGTACTCATGGATACATGATATTAGCTGTAAAGTAAAGGAAAACAGTGTTGCAACAGAGTGGCTTGGTATCAAGGAGGACCCAAGTAGGGGCACATGGATTTCCTGGGGAAGGTGACACAGAAGTGATCTTGTGAATAGACTAGGACAGGTGGAGATGGGAACACGAGTGATTGGTTGGATGAGGGAGGCAGGAGAGAGTACTGGGAGATATGACTGGAAAGGGTATGTATTTCAGGGTCTGGTAGAAACCTGACGAAAGGGAAATCTACAGTGATGACCCCATCTAATAATCTAATCTAATAAATCTACAATTATGACCACCCTCATAATGGCGGGTGCATAGCCCAAACTGTCTATCACCTGTGACTGGTCAGGACTTCAGGGGAGGAACTGGGATGCTGGCCCAGCTATAAAATCTTTCACACACATTCTGCTGTGCATATGAGAAGAGCTTGTGATTGGTGACTACCCCGATTGTCATCAGAGAGCCCTCATCCAGCATTTGACAGCAACACACATAGAGATTCACAGCCATCATTAGGGCAAGCTAGGGAAATCCTACTGAAGAGAAGAAGGTGTAGTGTATGAGTTGGCGGGGGGGGGGGGGGGGGGGGAGAGCAGTCAAGAATATCATAAAGGAAACCACAGAAACTGCCTGGACTCATAAGATCTCATAAAGTATGAACCCAAAGCCAGGGAGCCTGCATGGTACCAATCTAGGCCACCAACATATACTCAACATATGTGTAGCAAGGTCTGCTTGTGGGAATCCTAGCAGTGAGAACAGGGGTTGTCCCTAATGCTTTGGTTGACTTTTGGGAACCTATTCCTCATGCAGGGTTTCCTTGCTCAGCCTTAAAACAAGGAGAGTTTAATCCTAACTTAGCTTTATATGCCATACATTGTTGATATCCATGAGAGGCCTATCCCTTTCTGAACAGAAATGGAGGAGGAGTGTGATTGGAGGTGTAGCAGATGAACGGTCAGGAAAGGGCATGTGAGGAGAAAGGGAAGAGGAAGCTGCAGTTTGGATGTGAAATAAATGAATAAACCTAATTAATAAATAATAAATAAAGGATGGAGAAATGGTAGTTTGTTTGTTTTGTGTTCTTTAGCTAAGTCCCTGTAAATTCATTGCCCAGATTCATATTATAGAGGAAAATGAGCAAACTTTATTAGCATACATAATTATGGGCATATGGAATCTTTGTTTATAAGATTGTTTGGGGGCTGAGGAGTTGGTTCAGAGGATAAATTTGTTGCAGTACAAGTAGGAGGAAACGAATTCAAATTCCAAGTACTGGGTTAAAAGTTAGAGTAGACACAAATATCTATAATGTTTGTGTGGGAGAAGGAGTTTAAAGTAGAGGTGAAAAAACAGGCAGAGATGGAGACAATGCAAGGGACAGACACAGGTTTTTCTCTGTATCATCCTGTTCAGCAAGTCTAGCCAACCAGTGAGCAAGATGTTCAATTAAAGATCCTTATAGTGGGAAATTACCAATGTGGAGCCAAGTAGAAATATAAGGGTATTTAATAGGGAAAAGCCTTACTTACAGAGTGACCTAGCCAGCCGGCTTGGCTGCAGTCTGTACGCAAGGCGAAAAGGGTGAAAAACTGAAAGCGAAACTCAGCCAACTGAAACTCTTACTTTAGGTCACCCTGACCACATCCTCATAAGCATGGTCAGGCAGAACTGTAGCCAGCCCCTGAGCAGGCATGGCTACAGGTTCCCCTACAATTCCCCTTTTAGTCTAAAAGAGGATTAAAACTTAACTGTGTAAAGTATCCAAAATTAACAGTCATAAAGGTGAAATATAAGAAGACACAACAATCTGCTTATGTTACATCCTATTTTAAATAAATCCTAAAGTCATCGGAAAGAGGTGTCCAAGCCTGAACAACTCCTTCCAATCCCAACCATAAACAATAGGAAGCTATCCCTAACTAGGTAAATACACTACCCTAAATGACAACAATGAGGAAAGGGGGTGTAGCATCCTCCAAGTTGCTTCCTGCTGAACTGGGACGATGATAGCCTTGTGGGGTCCTGTAGGAAGAAAACGTTACTATAGTGAAAGTCTTGAATGGATTGTATCCAGTCCATGTTAGATGGGATTTGCTTGATTGAAGATCTCGATTGAAATCCTCAACTTGATTGAAGTCAGTACCCGAAGCTCTTGCGGGAGTGTCAGTTGAAATGGAGCAAGTTGGATCCAGTGCAGTCGAGGAGGAGTGGCCCATTTTCTTTCCAGGGTGTCCAGGGATTGCTGTCAGGCAGGTCTTCATTGGCTGTGTGAGACTACCCATGCAGTGTCCTTTGCCTTCTGGAAATGAGTTTTCCTGTGAAGATAAAAGCAAAACACTTCCCTTTCCTTTGGGGGTGTTTCTATTTAATTTATAAGATATACCTTAGTAAAATACCTGTCATTTCTCCTGGTCAAGAGGTTTTTGTTTTCACCTCGAATCTTGATCAACTTTGATGGTACCCAAAGTTTTTCTTCTCCTGTGAAAACCAATGCAAAACCCCTACCCCAATGTAACACATGTCCTGGTTTCCATACAGAGGTTAGTACATCTTTGAAATATACTGTCTGACTGAGTTCAGCAGTTTTTTCCATAGTCCAGTGTCTTTCTGCAGCTGTTTATCCTTTTTCATTGGTGTTAACAAAGTTTGGTGTTAATAAAGCATTATGCAACCTATATTTGGGGGGTTTAGTCTTCCAAACTTGTTTGTTGAGTGTCTCCTTAAGTGTTCTATTAGATCTCTCAACCACTGCTTGTCCTGTAGAATTGTGTGGTATACCAGTAACATGCTTTATGTTATAATATTTGAAAAATTGTTCCAATTTTGTAGAGACATATGCTGGAGCATGTCAATTTTTATCTGTGCAGGTATACCCATAACTGCCATCACCCCTAGCAGGTGTGTAATAACAGAATCAGCTTTTTCAGAGTTAAGAGCAGTAGCCCATTGGAACCCTGAGGATGTCTCTATATTACGATGTACATATTTCAAATTTCCAAACTCTGCAAAATGAAAGATATCCATCTGCCAAACCTCTTTCCCCGAATGCCCTTAGGATTACAACCTGCTGGCAATGGAGTTTGATTATAAATGGAACAAGTAGGACAGTTTCTCACTATCTCCTTGGCTTGTTGCCAAGTGATGGAGAAGTCCTTTTTCCAACCTTTGCTATTTACATGATGTTTCTTATGAAATTCTGAGGCACACTTGCAATTAATAAATAATCAATCTCATCATTGCTTTGTGCTAGTGGGCCTGGCAGATCCATATAGGGATCTGATATGTATAATGTATATAGGATTACTTCTGTTTCTGATTGTTTCCTGTTATTGTAAAAACAGAGGTAAATTCTGTATTATCAGGAACAAATTCTGCAGTCTCAATGTGTAACACGACTCTCTCTGCATATTGAGAATCAGTAACTATATTAAGAGGTTCTGTAAAATCCATAAGCATCATGAGAATTGCATATAATTCTGCCTTCTGTACAGGTGTATATGGACTTTGAACTACTTTACTTACCTCACCTCCTTTATAACCAGCCTTACCTGATTTTTTGGCATCAGCGTAGAAGGTAAGAACTCCAGAAATGGGAGTTTGTCTTACAATACGTGGAAGAATCCAGACTGTCTTTTTTTATGAATTTAATTCTGTTAATTTTGTGATATGTATATGTCTTCTCTTGTTTAGGTATTGTGTTTATACAGATCTTTCACCTATAGTCAGAACTTATAATTAGGTTAGTTAGGTTTTCTAGATTTACAGAGATGTATTTGAGATGGTTAGGTATTCGTCAAACCTTTCAAAGACCTACAGAAATATGGCATTTAAATGGTTTAGGGTTTTTCTTGACAGTGAGACACAACTGCTCCTGGCACACCAATTACGTCAGAAAGGAGGATGGGCATCAAAGAAACTTGTTTTGGAGTTTGCTTTTAACATGGCAAGATTAGCCATTTGGGCAAGAAACTGTTTTTGCCTGGACTGTTTGTTGCTGTATAAACTAGACATGCAGGACCCACAAGAAAGAACTGTTGAACTTACAAAACAAGACAGTACTGAAGGGTTGCTGTTGAAATGGAGCAGTGTGGCAGACACACTGTGGCCTATAGGTTGAAGATGGATGCCCCAACATTACAAAGGAACTTTGGGTGACTGTCCAGGTAGCAAGATGTCTCTGTCAATTCTAGAGTTTATATATTATCCTTCTGTGGTCTTTGATAGAGTTGAAGACAGACAGTTAAGGTTATAGTTTTCTTCAGTTACTATAAAAGATATGTTATCCTTCTTTTATTTAGACAGAAAAGAGGAGAAGATAGGGAATGTACTGTGTATGTTTATCTTATTGATTGTTAAATAAAATACTGTTTGGCCAATGAGACAGCAAGTTAGACAAGACTAGGAGTCAAAGAGGATTCTGGGAAATGTAGTAGATAAGTGGTGATCCAGGCAGGAAGTGACATAGCAAGGAGTGTCATATCTATGCGAGGAAACAGGAAGTGGCCCCTTTTCCCCTTTGCTTCCTCCAGTGGCAGGATATGAGTCACCGGCAAGGAGGGATGCCAATAAGGCATCCGATAAGGTAAGTCTTATTACATATATAGATTTATGATAATTAAGACTGAGCTAGCAGATGAGAAGTACTAGTAATTGACCAAGCAGCTTTGAACCTAAGACAAGTTTCTGTGTATTTATTTGGGCCCAAACTCAGGCGGGCGGCTGGCATAAAGCTCACACATGGCAGTGGGGCTCAGGTGGATTTTGGCAGAAAGATTTATCGTAACAGATCCTTTCTCATAAAACAATGAAGAGAGCAATTGAAAAGGAATTTTAGCCTCCACATGAATGTGTATACAGGCACATATGCACATATGAACATGCATACTATGGGCATTATGCACACAAACAAATAATAACAAAGAGTGGCTGAGTCTTTTCTCCACCAGGGACATTGCTAGAAATTAATACATTTGTATATGAGCCATATTTTGTGTTGGCACAGTCTTGAATTATACATGTTTTAAATACTAAACATGGCACATAAATAATGACATAAATCCACACTGTTCTTTCTCATTACCCCCAAAAGGCATTAGATAAATTAAATTTATTTAAGATTAAAGAAGAATTGATGACAAAATAGAGTTATAAAACATTGCCTAAAAGCTATTTCTACTTATGGCATTTTCTCTATATATTACCACAGAGTACCAGTACTATAATAGTTGACTAACAGGTAAGCAATTAAGCACCTGCAGTTACTCCACAGGATATAGACTTCCTCAATTGACAACTACTTCATAAATAAACAAATAGGAATGCATGCATGTAACAACAAGTCAAGTAGTGCTTCAATTTTAAATTTTAACAACCTGACAGTGATGTTTCTATGAAAGTCAAATGCTTTTGTTAGATCTCAGAAAAATGAAACACAAACAAAGAAGTTTTTTCACTATCCTTAACAACTGACCTTAGGGAAATAAAGATATACAAATAAGGCTTGGAATTAAAGTCACTCTAAACAAGTTTTATTCTTTTATATATCCCAAAAGAAATGAGAAGAGTCATTTTGTAAAACCATTCAGTCCAGACCCACCAAGGGAGTGACCTGTGGCTCTTGTTTCTGTCCCTAATCATTCAGTAATTAAGTCCATATTTCAGGAAGACAAGGTTTTTCAGTATGTCTGGACAGGCTTGTGCCACACATCATTTTTCTTTATTCCTTTAATTGTGATAATCTACTATCCACTGTATGAATGCAGAGAACTTCATTTTGGGACACTTGAATCTCCAAGCATCCTGAAGTCCCCTAAAATCATTTACAGATTATCTTTAAAGTATCTGCATTTTCCATTCATACCCTTCTCTATGAATAATAAGAATATAATAACATTCTTATATGAATATATAAGAATCTAAGTTGCAATGGTTTAGTGAATGGTCACAAACTTCGATCTTCTTCCTTGACATGATTATTTCCTTTTCCAATGTTGGTACATTTGTAAGCCTTCTCCTTTCAGACTTCCAACTGGATATTCTTCTGTTCTGTGTGATGGGTGTCATAAGCAGACAATGTAAATCTCCCTTGTAGTTGGTATCTGTGAGCTCTACACTACCAAGTGTTTATGGGTTAGCTTTACACATACAAGGATTCACAGCTCCAGGCACTTAGCAGAGTCCTATTGATCAAACTTTTAAAAGCTGGAGAGAAGTACATCTGGGTTTAGAGGTCAAATACTTATCATTCTAAAATTTGCCAGACTGACAGCATGCTGTGTTTGGGTATGGAGAGTCTTTGTAATTAACTCTCTGTTAGTTCTTTAAACTGTAGCATGAAAAATAAGACACAGAGACAGATATTGGGGTTCATGCTTCAAGTTGAAGCTCAGTAAAACAAAGCAGCTGGCCACTACCTCTTATCTCTACCTCAGTCTGAAAGGGTTGATCCTGTCTCAACAAGCTCTCATAAAGCCTCAGCCTGCTGCTTCTCCTCAATGTGGCTGGAAAATAAATGCCAGCTCTGAAACCCTGTTCCTGTCTTAGATACTTCTCATGTGTCCTGGTATTAAAAGCATGTGATCCCAAGTACTGAGATCATCTTCATGTGAGCTTTTTTCTTTAGGACTGGATATATATTGTGCATTTCAGTGTGTCCTTGAACCAACAGATATCTGTCTACCTCTGCCTACCATGTGGTGGGATTAAAGGTGTGTTCCACTACTTGAGACTGGCTTTGCTTTCTGAATCCTCAGGTGAGCTTTAATAAATCATAAATAATATATCACCCCAAGAAACTCTTCAATGAACTGGGGTTTCCTGCTCTTGCTTTGAGATCTCCATAGCTTCCTGCTTTCTGCATTTTTTATTTTCCACAGTTTCAGCTTCTAGCCATACTCTTGGAAAATTTCAACCCTATTTCATAGGGCAATACTGTATTTTGGGAAACCAGATCAGTCTACTCAATTTTTGATAAAGACTACAAGCAGGAAATAAGAGACTATTTAGGAGAAGTACTCATCAGAGCCCAATAATTATAGACAAGAACACAAGGACAGAGATGTCCTTGACTGATCAAGAAATTGCTCTCTTATATGACTTGAAACTGGACATTGCACATTGATGTTCAGATTTTCATTTCAAAAATTGTTATCATACACAATGTTCAATTTGATGAATCACAAGACTTACAAATGCAACCATTAGAACACACTCTTCTTAATGTAGCAGTCATAAGCTTTCACTCCTCTTCTGTGGTGAAAACGTCTGTAGAAAAAACACCAACCTTGAATTATTACTAAGGCTAATCTTTGTCTTGCCTGTATTCGAGTCTTACAAATTTGCTGTCCTGACAGGAATGATCCCCTGAATCTAGGTGTTATGGTTTCAGCAAGAAATTTTGTTGTGATGATCCTTGCAGGAAGAGTGTAGTTTCTTCAGAGCCAAGAGGTCTTCAAAATCATGAAAACAACAACAACAACAACAAAACATCTTGACTCACAGACTTCCTCTGACAGACTAGGCAGAAGGCAAGTATGTGTACACTGTTGTTATTTTTTGCCAGATAGATCAGTTTCTGCAAGTTTTATTCATTCATTCATTCATCCATCCATCAATTCATTCATAAACAAGCAATCAGGTTTATAAGACATCTAGAAAATTAATATTTTTAAACAGAATTTCACAGTACTTAAATTTATTTTTCATTGAAAATTGCCTCATATTACTTAGACTTTCAATAAATAACTTTAGGGAGTTAAATCCTTTTGATTTGTCTCATTATCTCCTAAATACTTTTACTTTTACTTTTAATCTTTGTAATCTTTGAGGGTTGGGTATGACATTGTAGATATGTGTGTGAGTATGAGCATATGGGTGCAGGGGCCTATAAATCGCAGAAAAGGGCACCATATCCCATGGTTTGGAGTTACAGACAATTGTAAGCTGCAACACATAGATCCTGGGAATTGAATTCAGGTCCCCTGAAAGAGTAGAACATAATTTTATCCTCTGAGCAATGTCTCCAACACCACACCAACCTCCTGCCTGTTTAATCTATTGTCACATTTCTACTGAGTCATCAAAGAGCAAAGGAAAAAAAAAACTTCCCTCCAGCATCTATAGATTCACAAAGTGAAAATCAAATTACCCTTTTTATCTCCCAGGGTAGTAATTAATGTCTTTCTTATTATATTTTAAGCACCAAAAATACATTTAATGTTAACAGGGCTCTTTCTGGGTTGTCATTTTTGTTATTTACTTATAAGTAACAATCATAAAGCCACCAAAATAGTATTATACAATGATTATGAAACCTATATTTTAAGTTCTCAGATGTAGATGGGAATTTACATTTCATCATTCATTTCTATAGATTTGATGGCTTCCTGCTATGTCCTTTGGATTTTGAGTGTTTCTTAGTTTCAATACTTAGAAATTTATTTGTAATTGTAATCAACTGGTGCTGTGTTGGATACAGACCACATTTTAAAGGCCACTGTATTAAAGACTTGTAATATAATATATGTCTCTGAACAAATTGTGGACTTACCTGTGAATGAGATTACAGAACATGATCCAAATGCCCCTTTGATAATTCAGCCATCCTACAACTATATTGTCCTCAGTATTTTAGCCGTGATGCTCCACCATAAATCTAGACAAACAAGGTCAATTGCTCATAGCCTGAAATATCCAAAGCCATGAGCTAAAATAACTGTTTAGAATATATATGCTTGTCATAGTTAATTGTTTTTGCAGTTTTGGAAAACTAGATAAGACAACTGACAATGGATCTCATTTTTATTTGTTCAGGCCACAGCCTCACATAAGCTGGGTTAACTATTTAACCTTCAGTTTTCTCATAGAAAAAAATGGGAAGCAGAAAAACGGATCATGACAGAATTAAGTGTGAGGTATCTGCTCTGAGAGACTGGATCAATGAGTCTGGAAAGGGTAATATAACTCTTTCATCTTCTGCTTCAGGTGTTTTTACCTTAGCTTTAGTTCTTAGTTTTGTACAACTGTGTCTTATGCTGAGAGTGCCTGGACCTCAGCTTTGCAGACAGACTACAAAAGCAGGCTGGAGTTTTCACATTGTTTCAACAAAACTTGAGTATCAAGGAACAAAATTAGTTCATGGAGTTCACAATATAATCCTGCATGCATCATAAAAGACAAGTAGAACAGGGAGAAAGGATAGTTTAACACTACTTAATTAATAAGGACAGTGATAACATCATTAATTTAGAAAATGTGTACTGTGATTCAAGTCATCATTCCAGGCATCTTAAATGGGTTATTTTAGAATTTTATAAAAATGGTAGATTAAAGTAAGGATGGAACTTTAGAAAATACAATGTAGAATAAAATCTTGTATTTTAAAATAAATAATCTGGGATGGGGCATTTGATCTGACATTAACTTTCAAACTTTTTTCTTTTTTTAATGTGTTTATCATTTTTTAAAAGATTTTATTTATTAATTATGTATACAACATTCTGCCTCCCATGTATGTCTGCACCCCAGAAGAGGGCACCAGATCTCATTACAGATGTGAGCCACCATGTGGTTGGTGGGAATTGAACCCAGGACCTCTGGAAGAACAGCCAGTGCTCTTAACCTCTGAGCCATCTCTCCAGCCCCAACTTTCACACCTTTTAAATTGCTTATATTCCTACAGATCACTGCAACCATGGGTAGTAACAATAGTGATACACCCACTATGAGAATTCATGAATAGAAACCCACTTCTTACACTATTACCTGACATGGAATTATATTATAGTGTATAAATAAAATTAAAGGTCTCAGGAAAGATACATAATGATTTCTAAAGATAAATTTACAGGGACTGGGAAGGAATTTCACAAAACCACATTTTGTTTTGTTTCTATAAAGTCTCAGAAAGCTCTTAAATCACCCAGGTGTCCACAAAGATAAGTGCCAATGTCTACTCAAGAAAACATTTTTGAAATCTTTGCCTCTGAAGTATGAATTCCCTTATTTATTTCATATCAAAGAAAACAATATTCCTGAAGGACTAGAGATAAAATTTTATAAAACAGAAGATGGCAAATTTTAGTTAGTTATTGTTGTCCTTGATTAGTAACTTAATTATATAATACATACAAGCTGTGTGGTATAAAATGCTTAGATTTTATATAAGATATTACATTTTTAATCAATCATATTAAACATGATTTCTGTTAAAATATGAAGTTATTCCTTAAATAAAACTGCTAATGTTTCCTTTAAATCTGACCTGTTTTGAAATTTAGGGATAAAATGAAAAGCGGTCCAGAAATCTTACTTATTTAAATAGCATGAGTTTTATTGTTAAAAATCTAAATTCCGTACAGAAAAAAAGGGTAACATATATCTCAACCACTTATTTCCTCTGTCTTGTGCATATGCAATAATATCAAAAAATTTTCATTTAAAAAGAAGCATGGAGATCATGTCTTTAACAACCTGTTTTGAGCAGACAAGTGTTTCCTGCTCACAGTTCTACAGACCTCATCACAAAAGAACTAGACAGAATTTGTTTTTAGCATGAATCTGAGCACAGCTTCTTCCCACAGATAACAATTACAGTTGAGCTTGACCGGCCTCACAGTTGGCTCTGCTGTTTCCCAAAGGAATTCAATGAAAGCAAGTGAGATGAATAAGGGAAACTGAAGCTTGTACTCTGTTATATACATTCAAAAACTTGCCAAGTTTAAAGTCAAATTAAGAGGTGACATTAAACCATAAAAAGTTGGTTGCAAAGGATAGGATAGCAACTAAAATTTACAGCAGAATAAAATGTTAAAGACCCCAAATAAATATCCAAGAGGAATATATGCTCTAAGAAAGCATACTTATTCCAAGGTTATCATAGATTCACAAAAATGTTTCTAGTTAGTCCCCACATAAAAAGTAAAGAGAGATACTTTAACAACCCATATAAGAAATTTTCTTTTTTAATTTAATCAGTTTATTTATTTTATATCCTGACCAGTGCCCTCTCCCTCCTGTACACCCATTTCCTCTCTCTTCTGCTCTGCAACCCCCACAATCCAGTCTGTCTCGGATTCTGTTCAGAAAGGGGCAGGGCTCCCATGAGTATCAATAAAACATGGCCTATCAAGTTTCTGCAATGCCAACATATCCCATTGCATTGAAGCTGGGCAAGACAATCCAGTATGAGGAAAGGTTCCCAAGAGTCAGCCAAAGCTTTAGGGACAGTCCCTTCCCCCATTGTTAGGAATTCCACAAGTAGAGCAAGCTACACAACTGTCACATATATGTAGAGGGCTCAGTTCTGTTCCATGGAGGCTCCCTGGTTGTTAGTTCAGACTCTGTGAGCTCCTCTGAGCCAGGTTAGTTGCTTCTGTGGATTTCCCTGTGATATTCTTGACCCCTCTGCTCTACAATCCTTCTGCTCTTTCTTATGGAGGATTCCCCCATCTTGGGCTAGTGCTTGGCTATGAGTCTCTGCTTCTGTTTCCATTGGTTACTGGATGAATGTTCTGTGATAACATTTGGGGCAATAGAAATCTGATCACAGAAGATGGCCAGTTCAAACTGTGTATCAAGAAATTCTCCTGAGTTGATTAACCCAGACCCAGAAAGATAAACATGATGTGTACTAACGTATAAGTGAATATTAGATGTAAAGTAAAGAACAATCATGCTACAACTTTAGTCTTCTTAGGTTACTGTAAAATTGTTAATAATTTGTCAGATATAATATACTAATTATGAGATTCTGAGAGTCACGGCAGTAGATGAAAAATTAAGATATTCATGAAATTGACATGATACTTCATCCACCAACAAACCACTACACTCATGATAAGAGTTTTTCTGGTTATTTCATTCTCTGCTCTTCACAGTAGCCCAACCACACAGTACCCTAGATCCAATCCTAGGTTAAATAATATTACCTAGTACATAGGTAAAATATAATAACACAAGTCACATGCAAACAGGAGAGTATGGTTTTTGGTATTTTGTGGTAATACCATATTTTAATAACAGAAGATTTCAATAAAATGAATATACATCATTCACATTGTCATAACATTTTAGAAAACTGATCTGTGGGGTCAAAATTTCCCCAATTTCCAAAGCAATTTATTCTCACCTTTAGTCAAAATCAGACTAGATATGAATATATATACTATTTCAGTATATAATATCAGACTAGATATTATATATATACTATTTTCTTACACTGAAGTATCTGCTTCTGAGGTTTTTCCAAAACTACAGGAAGAAAGGAAAAATTTGTACATCTTTATGTTCTAAATATCTGTCAAAGCAAAGATTGTTGAATTTTAAATTGATTTTATAAAAATCAAGAATTATTTTACGTTGTAAGTATGAGAAATTTTCTATGAATATTGATAAATACTCTATCTTCAGGATCTGGCCTTTCACTATAAACAGGTCAGGGGAGACTCTAGAACCTCAGCCAGGTAAGGACAGCAGAGAAGAGTTTCAAGTTAGAAGCATTTTAGCTGTACCGAAATGAAATAGAAGATAAAAATACGGCATCCCACTTACTTAAATGCTTGGTAGAATTTTCTGTATATCATTTGCTAAGTCAAGTGTAGTACATTATTAGCTGTGTTCATCATCAAGAGAAAAAAATAGGTAAGTTTCAAACTGCTACTATGTATAATCTGAAGAAGAAGAATCTAAGACTTGAAGTTGGACTGACAGCTTGCCAAGGACACAAGCTAACATTTTACAGAATTGTCTTCCACACTATGAACTATACTATAAAACTGAAAGGGCATACAGAATCCTGAATGGGACTCTTCCCAGTTTAGTAAATACCTCAAAAGACATGTTTTTAAATATGAAAGGAAAAACTTAAACAAGTACAAATTATCCATGATACAAAAGGGCAACATTTAAGTGTATTTGAAGAAATTCTAGCACAGCCCAGCTTCCATGGCTCCAATTTCATTCAAAGACTTCTGGAAAGTCTTCCAGTGGCTCCACTATCAATAAGTATTTATTTCTTTCCCAAGCTATGTGTAGTGTACACATTGGGCAAAGCTTCTTTTTATGTGCCAGTTTTTCATCTACTCGAGTATCAGGCTGTGGGCAATGACTTTACCTATACCTATCACCATTTCCATATCTGATAGAACTGGAGTAATTCTTCACATCTCATTATATTTTCCTGCCTTAGTAGTATATAAGACATTTCACTTCATAACTTGTCATTCAGAAGAAAGGACATAATCTGCCACACAGTAGGGACACTGGGAAGAGATATCTATCAAGGACTTAGAAAAGTAATGGGAAGAGACACATGGGACGGTTAGTTAGAAAGTCTTAAAGTTGTCTGTAGAAAGCAATAATATACTATCAAGGTAACTTATGAGTCACTTTAAAGTATGTATCCATGTTTCAGTGTCTTTTCCTATTCCTGTGATACAATACATTGACAAAAATAACTTCATGGAGAAAGGGTGTATTTGCCTCAGAGTTTGATGTTATATTCTACTATGATAGGAAAGTCACAGTGGCAGGAGCTTGAGAGAACTGGTCAATTTTTATCTGCAGTCAAGAGCTAGAGATCAAAGAGCATATATTGTTGCTCAACTCACCTTTTCTATTTGTAAAGTCCAAAAACTTAGTGATGGAAATGGTGGTGCTTACCATAGTAAACAGATCTTCAAACTTGGGTGAATGAGATGAAGATAATTTAGCACAGGCATTGCCAGAGGACCATAGCCAGCATGATTTAACATTCCATCAAGTTGGCAACCAGTAGTTATCATTACAATTCCTTATTAACCAATGGAATAAAAGTTCCCAAGAATAATAGCTTGGGAAGCAGAGTTTGATTGGAAAGCATTCTTAGTCTGAAGTTATTAACCTTACCTTTATCTTTACCTCTATCCCAAGGACACAGAAATGTCATACATATACTCCTTCTTTCAGTTCCATGGGATAGATTACATTAGTAGTTTTGAGTCCTGTAGAATTGGGGAGCTACTGAAATCTTGCATTTCATCTCAAATAGATAGGCACCCCAAAAGGCTAAATGAAGCAGCTTCTTTGGTAGAATGAATGTTGCTTGATTCAGTTAGGATTCACAAGAAAGCAGAGCAGAGAGATAATGCAGAGAGAAAGGGAAAATGAGACAATGGCCAGCAAATGAGTATTCAGAACCCTTCTTCGAGTATACTAAAACTACCTAGACATACAGTAGAATTCCTTCTGAGCAAGGCATAGGGGGAAATCATCTGAGAAGCAAGGTCAACAGGGGCATCCTTAAGCAACAAGCAAAAGGATGTTTGCAAAATGATTGCTCCTAGAAAAAAGGTTCCATAGAAATAATGAAAAAATCTAGAATGTTGCCTTTGAGATCTGCCTATCACAAAGGATACTGTTGTATGACAACACTTTTTCTGGGGAGACACAACACACATGTCTACAGACAGGGAGTCTACAATAGATCAAACTATGGACAACACCAAAGTCCAATTTCATGAAACAATGGATTTTGTTGGGTTACTTAAATCAGTATTTATTGGTGAGTGATTACTTACAGAAGCAGAAATGGTTCAAAGACAGCTGTATCAACAAAGCCCATTCCATCACAGGTGACAGTTCAAAAAAGCTGTAAACCTGAAGCACACTTCGCAGGCTGCAGGCAGCTCAGCAGGTTGAAGACTGCCCTTCCCAGTGCCTCAGTTGCTCTAAACATTTTTCAGGTAACTTGATTGGTTTTTATTTCTTCTGTTCAGCTGATCTGGTCTCAGAGTCTTCCTTGCAACTAGACATACCTGAGATCCATTTTGCCATTTTACTTGTTTACTCTGGGAAGGAGGGGCATAGTGAATTTGGTCATATTCAGAGACTTCCAGAAGCTATTTTCAGTTATTTCACTTCCAGCTAAATGAGCCTCTCAGCAGGGTGGAATGCTTCAAAATCGGGGAAAGCTATTATACAACACATGATGCTAAGAAAATCTATTTTCCTTTCATCAACAATTCTCATATTTATCCTTTCTGTGCCACCATGAGGGACCAGAGCAAATAGAATAGATAAGGGGAGTTAAAAAGAATAAACATGTGCTTATTTTGGTAAACAGTAAATGAAGCCAAGGAAGCCACACGGCATATTTACTGCAAGGCTTCTTCTGTACAGCCTCCTGAGTGGTCGGAGAGATAGAGCAAGAGACAGGAAAGAAGCAAAAGGAAGCACTACTTGATAGTTTAAATCTTCACACACACCAAAATTAAAGTACATATCATAGAATTCAGTTCTCTGAGAAATCCTGGGAACTGGAAGTATCAATATGGGCTTTGCAGAAGATACATAAATCATAGGAGTCATAATTTGAAGAGAATTGTGGAACTCTGGATTCTTCCACTCTCTTACTTCCTGTGCATGAGGTGAGCACATGGTTGATCATGCATCTGCTAATACAGTCATCCATTCCCTGCCACCCACCAAATAATTACTTCCAGAGAAATAAATCCAGCAGATACTGGACTGGATCTTGAAGAGCAAAAGTTGAAAATAAACATTTATCTTAATGAAATAGTAACACAAGTTATCCTGTTATAATAACGTTTAGTTGAATAAGGTTCAGAATAGCTTTTATAACTCTTAATTATGCATATTAAGTAAGGGCTAATGGATAAACTGGAAAACATTTATTTTCTGAGATGGGCCCGTGGAGCTGTATACATTTCCAATCACTAAAGAGAAATAATCCTCAGTTCATAAAAATTTACAAATGAAATTTCAGTCTTCTCAAAGGGAGTTTAACCATGGAAACAATCTGCTCTTAAGGATAGGCTGCTTTATCCATGTTTGTAAAAGAACCATTAATAAAGTTCAAATCACACATAAGACCTCACATACTTATAATGGGAGACTTCAACAACCCAGTCTCACCAATAGACAGGAGCATCAGACAGAAAATTAATGAGGAAACAAGGAACTAATAGAAGTTATGACCCAATTGGGTTTAACAGACATCTATAGAACATTCCATCCAAACACAAAATAAGATAACTTCTTCTCAGCAGAACCTTCTGTAAAATCGACCACATACTTAGCAACATAGCAAACCTCAACAGGTACAAAAAAATTCAATAACCACTATATCTTATCAGACCAGCATGCTTTAAAGTTAGAATTCAACAACAACACAAACTGCAGAAAAACTACAAACTCATGGTAATTGAATAATGCCCATTTGCACCATTCCTGGGTTGTCGACCACATACTTAGCAACATAGCAAACCTCAACAGGTACAAAAAAATTCAATAACCACTATATCTTATCAGACCAGCATGCTTTAAAGTTAGAATTCAACAACAACACAAACTGCAGAAAAACTACAAACTCATGGTAATTGAATAATGCCCATTTGCACCATTCCTGGGTTGAGGAAGAAATGAAAAAAGAAATGAAAGATTTCCTAGAATTCAATGAGAATGAGGATACACCATATCCAAATTTATGGGACACTTTGAAAGCAGTGCTAAGAGGAAAGTTCATAGCACTAAATGCCCACATGAAAAAACTGGAGACTAGTCACACTAGAGAACTAACAGCACAACTGAAATTATTTATCCCTGAATAATGCCAATTGGTATATTTCACTACTATCATGTGATGTATGTCCATTTCTACATCTCATTTCAGTTTTACTAAATATCCAAAACTATCTTCATTAGCCTACAAACCTAACAGATTTATCTTTAATATTTATTGTCAAATCTCTCTTTCTATAAACATTTATTATTTTATTTTATTTGTATGTGTGTTTTACCTTCATGTATGTTTCTATACAATATTGTGCAGTGCCCATAGAATCCTAAAAGAGGATTGTATCACTTACAACTATAGTTAAGTCAGTTGGTAGCTGCCTTGTGGGTCTTTTGGAAAAGCACCCAAAACTTTCAACTGCTGAGCCATCTCTTTATCCTTTTCTCAAATCTCCTTAGTCTCTGTTTTCATAGAATTAGTTCCCAGGCTTCTGTGTCCTTTCTGACATGAGAATCTTTTATCACAGAGCACTTATGTCAGTGAGTACATTTCATTTTGAGGCTGTATTTTGTTTTTGCTCAATCTGGTTTAAGTCTCAATCCCTGTCAGGTTGCACTTGAAGTTACTATTTTCTTCAACTCAGGACTCTTGTGCTTGTTGTTGTCTTCAAGGCCTATGAATAAAGACCTATGTGCCAGTAGTGTCCACTGGATGTTGTTTGTCTGAAATTTATAATTAATAGACACTTATTCAAGTGTAATCTGTCACTATGCAAATATTCCAATGTTGGACAAAGTTATTTGTCAATTAATTTATTATTTATTGTAATCTGTTTAGTCCATGGATAATAATGTTATTACAGTTATTTGTTGCAATGCATAATTCATCCCACATCTTATCAGTAGCAAGTATCATAAGCTGTTTCCTATGCTCTCTTGACCAAGACACAATATTCCACGAGAATATTTTAAATTCTGAAATGTTTTTACATTTTTTTGTGTTTTCCCCTTTTCAAAGAAACCAGCCATTCTGTCAAAGAGTTCTAGATATTCATAGATGCTAGTGTTATTTAGATATCAAAGTCCAGGCCAGTGGTGTGCTTAATCCCTGTGGAATGTCAATTCTTCTTGCCTGTTTCAATGGTCATAGGTAATTTTATGAAGTAAATAAAAATCTAGACTACAGTGAACTTAATAGTTACATTCTCTTTCATTGCATCTATTATATGACCCTAAACATAATAAAATGAGAGCAACATTTAGGTAAAGTAATTATTTCATATGCCTAGAGTCTATGTAAAGTTTGGACGGTCAGTGTTATAAAAAAGTATACACATTAACATGTTGTCCAACTATTCAAGACAGACCTTGAGATGGTAGGGCTCAGCAAAATGTCTTTTAGTCATGCACAGAAATCAACCTTTTCTTTTTCCTTATGTACTAAGTGTCTTAGGACTCTGTGTTCTGGGTATTTTTTATGTCAATGGAAAGCTAATAACATTATAGGTGTCCTGATAAAAAGTGGCAGTGGTGTTTTCATTCTCTCACTATATTTCTGAAACATGAGTTAACCAGTTCTTTGGTTTGGATTTCCTAGATTACAGAATTGTGACAAATTTGTATTGTCTAAACAATTCTGTTATTTGTTATAAGAGAGACAGAATATATCACATGAATTCAAACAGAATAAAGATTCATCTTTATACTACTATTTACTTATGTACTGCTTGATGTATTTTTAAGCCCTATGTTAATGATTGCATTTGAAGTTGAAACTTAATCTAAAAACTAAGCTAGCTTTTACTCTTGCCACATTCTAAATCACTCTATGGTGGTACTTTTCTCATATTGTAGGCTGTCATGATGCTCTGAGAACACCCTTAATATTCATATGCTCCTTAACCTATTCTGAATCCATATACTTATTCCCAGGCCATTGTTGGTACTACTCCTTGTATATACAAAGAAAGTATTTGTATCAGGTTTGGGATTTATTTACCTATATGAAGTTTAGTATACATGCAAATATTCCTATCCTCACAGATTAAACCCAACACCAAGAAGTCCTTGTCGTCACTGGGCTTCAGTGCTTGAAGACACTGAAATTGTCTATTCCACTGACCTCCTCCTAGTATTCCTCACCCAGATGGAGCTGACTACCATGGAAAAATGCAGTTAGCTCCAGGTCAGAAAAAAACTATTTAGAAGAGAAAATGGAGAAAAACAAGGGGATTGCCTAAGCAAATAATTAAAAATTAACTCTTTAATGCAATCAAAATAATTCTTCTATGATTTCTTGTTTTATGTTTTTATTGATAAATTAAGTTAATAAAAAAAACAATCACAACAATCAAATCAATGAAAATGAAGATTTGAGAAGATAGTCTAATTCTAGTGCAAATTTTCAAACTCTTCCATTGTTCTCCTTGGGGCTCGGTTTGTTCCTCATCAGGAGGATATTTAATATGGAACTGTCTCTTCTTAGGAATTGCAAGAACACTGCTCAAAAGTGCCCACTCAGTTCTCTGGCATAGGAAATTCAGTTCTACCCTAAGGAGTTTGTATTTAAGTGTTAGACTCTGATATCAGAGATCTTTCTGTCACCAATATTCTTTGAGGATCAACTCAAAAAGATTTCCTTTCTTCATCTCAATTATGCTTTTGTAAGTAGGTGTATGTTCCAGAAACATGTCATTCCTTGTCTTAATAACTAAAAGATGCATTAGAGGGAACACCATGACCCAGAGCACAGGACATTTCACATTTCCATGAGAAGCCTTTTAAGTGCCACATCCCTACACTTACTGCTTACTTTAACTTCCCATCTTTCTTGTAACAAGACTTGCCCTCTGCATCCCAGATTTTCCATCATTCATGAGAGTAGGTTCATGTAGTTTAACTAACATTCTAATGTAAGAAAGAAGAATTTTCCTTGTTTTTTTTTTTCCTTTTTCTGTTTTAAAAGCTTTAATGCTTAGGATTCTCTTTTGGGACAGATAACAATTTCATCCAAGTTGCAATTCTAGTAAACAGATTATCAATTCCTTTTCATTCAGATCTTAAAGACATGCACTTCTTTATCAGTGTAATAAACTTCAAATTCAAAGGCAAATAAAATTGTTATTTTAAAGAAATTGGTAAAACTTCAGTTATTGTTTAATATAGCTTCTTTGTCAGTTGATAATTACTTTCAATCTAAAAAATTGTGTGGGAAAAATGAGAACATAAAAGCCAGGGGAACAGAGTCATTGAGTAGAGAAATAAACACAAAGTTAATGTGATAGACAAATGATGAGAGGCAGCAGCTGTGGTGGAAAACAATGCATGAATCCTCAGGTAAGTCATGTCTTCTGCACCTCCTTCACTGAGAACCACGAATCTGTTTTGTTGTGAAAGCAATTGCTGTTAGTCTACTTACTACTTGGCTTTACACTTAATGATTAACTTTAGGGATAAGAACCATGTCATCTTTTTCTCCATGTGACTGCCTCAACATTTAACAGGTCCATTGGCACTGTCAAGCCAACACACAGATCTGCTGAGCCTTATGAGCTGTGGTTTGCAATCTTAGAAATATGTGAAACCAAGCAAAATGCCATAGGACCAGGTCTTCAAAGCAATATCTGTATTTATTATAACACACTAAAATTTCATATTAACAGAATGAAAGAACTATTTTCCCTTTTCTTACTCACTCTCCTTTTCTCCTATGTGAAGACAAATAAATATATTTAATAAAATCCAAAATATTAAAAGTACTGTTTCCTTAGAATCTCAAGGCCAAACTGTGTAAGAAGCAACCTAGAGTGTTTCAGGAGTGTTGGTGCATATTTCACCCAGTGACAGTTTTAGTGATATAAAAATTCTTTCTGACCAGTAAGTGAATATATTTTATGCCTGGGTATCTATTCTTAAATGAGTAAGATTCTTACTGCTTTCAGTTATAGTTATAGCTATCAAAGTCATTGGTAAAATTTTCACCTTTACAATGAGCAAAACCCTATAAATCCAGAGTTAACTGAATTTATTAAGATGGAACATTCACAAATACTTCTCCACTTTAAAAATACATGGAGCTTTTTAAAAGATAGCAAGTCCCAGGTCTCCACCTGCAATCATTGTGTGTAATTCTTTACACTCTGATGTTATATTCTTTTTTCTCCATCTCTGGCTTTTCTATATATCTCTAGTATTTCTCTATTTCTACCTTGGTGTATACCTATTTCTCTCTATTTCTAATTTTATCTCTATCAGACATTCAATCTCTTTCTCTGTATCTTCATTTCTTTGGATTCTGATGTTAGAGTTCATTTGATTCTTCTTTTGATCTACTCACAAGTAGGCTGCATAGATCCATTTTCTTTTCCCTCCTCTTTGTTCCATCCTTTGTTTCTTCATATAGAATTCTTTTGTTTTCACGGCCCAAATCTTAAAGTCACCTCACAACCACTAAAGGTTCATGATACCATAATTATGACAGTATGGTTGGGATTCTCTGCAGCTGCATGCTTGCTGAATTGAGAAGTACAGTGAAATACCTGGTGCTACTACTTGCTAAATTAAGGGCTGTGCCTAGGCCAGCCCAACAGATGTCCCCAATGGTATGTCAAATACCTGTGGTGCTTTCTTTGTTCATCAGATGGTGATTTAACAAAGAGACTCACATCCGGTCAACATGTATAGAATAAAAGACTATGAAATTTTCAGTGTAAAACTGGACATTTATCACATTCTCCATCCCAAGCCACAAAGATAATCAAGGAAAAGGAGTCAAAAACATCTAAAACCAAAGGAAATGTACATGTGAATTAAAGAGAGCTTGCTTCCTGTCACAGGGCTTTTACACACATAAGTTCACAGCAGTTGTGACTGCATAATAAGACCTGTAAAAGAACAAAGCAGCCAAATGTTGTTTGATGCTTTTGCTCTTTTGGGTCTTTGGCTTTTGGGGGAGCCTGTCATCCAGCTCCCAAATAAATCATACAGGGATTTATTTTTACTTATAAATGCCCAGCCTTAGCTTGTCAAGTTTCTTTCCAGCTTTTCTTATCCTAAATTATGCTGTCTATATTTTCCCTCTGGGCTTTTATCTTTCCCTTCTGTAAATCTTACTTTTACTCTTACTCTGTGGCTGGATGGGTGACTGCATGACTAACCCCTCAAGTCCTTCTCTCCTTGTTCTCTTCCTCCTCCTCCTCATTTCTCTTTCTCTCTACCAGCCAGCCCAGCCTATCCTTGATCTAGCCTTACTATTGGCCATTCAGCTCTTTACTAGACCACCAGATGTTTTAGACAGTCAAAGGGTCACAGCTTCACAAAATTAAACAAATTCAGCATAAAAAAATGTAACACGCCTTAAAATTAATATTCTACCACAGCCAGAACCATCATGGATGGCGGAGTAAATATTGAAGTTCCATCCATAGCCAAGGAGATACTAGCTATTAAATGGCTAGTAGGGAAAGGAGAGTCCACTCTCTTTACATTTTTCTTAAGGTAACAAATAGAAGGTTTTGAATTTTACCTTTATCTCCATGAGAATTCCTTAAACATTTAGACTGAGTCACATTCACCTAGGCATCAACACTGATGGGCCCCAAAGCTCACAAATTGACCTTCAGATGTAGGGATGCAGGAAGTTTCTCAAAACAAAGGCCACTAAAACTGGAGAAAGCAAACACTATTAATAATTAAAGTAGCCAGTGGGCAGGACTTACCTCACTAAAGGAAAAATGCCATGCTTAAAAGCAGGTTGTTCCAGCACAATAGTTTTCTCCTTTCCAAATATTTCTTTTACTGAATTGCTTCAAACTTTACCCTGTGTATCTTCTACATCAGCTGGTATTTTGGTTTATTTATTAAAGCCTCTAAAAAGAACAAAAGACATCTTCAGAAAAATATTTAATGAATTCCCCAGGCTTTTAAAGTTGATTTTGGATTCTTTGTTTTTGTACTTTTATAGGAGAAATTATATTTATGATCATCAATTTTGCATTGGGGCATCACTTTTTTCAGCCCTTTAACTTGTCAACAAATATGTAAGAAAATGTTTAAATACATCTAATGGTAACATGCCTATGAATAAGCTTATATGCATACATACATACACACAGCACATACACAGTATATTTATACATCAACCAATCATAACAGTAGATTTCATTGCCATGACAGGCATTGGACAGAATTAAATATTGAGGAATTCTAATTTGCATTTGGTGAGTTAGTTGTTTTATTATGATTGGAAATAGATTCTTCTCTCATACAATATATCCAAAGCACATTTTTACATCTTTCTGCTCCTCCTAGCTCCCCACTATAAATCTTTCCACCAAGCTGTCTTAGCCCTGCTGCCACGTGGGCACCAAAATAACACAGAGAGATTTCTATTAGGTACAGTGTTGCTGGCCAATGACTAGGATTTCTTATCTGCTAGCTCAGTCTTGATTATCAACCATAATCATTTATCTATATATTTATAAAAATTTATCAAGGATGCCAACCGCATTTAAATGAAAACAAACATTTATAAACAATATTAGGGAATTTGGGCATTGTTCATTCCAAATTGCTTCCTGCTGGTTGTGGGTGATGTCCTTAACATGGTTATCATGATAAAACACAGAAACCTGGCCAGGTCCTTGTCTCAGCTGTTTTACATATTGGATCACCTGGGACACTGTTTCAGGGGGTCTTTCTTCATCAAATAATATTGGTCTTGAAGTAATCCATAGCTTTCCATTTTCTGTGGAAACAAAAGCAAAAACTCCTTTTTAAATTGTTTTAAGCAAAAACTCTTTTCCCAAGTAACCTGTCCTTATATTTAAATTTAGAATTCAAAATATTTTTAAAATGTTTAAGTTGGGTTAATCTAGCAGCACCTATAACCAAATGTATTTTAGAAGCTTTAGTGCTTTCCTCAGCAATCAAACAAAACACAACAATATAGCATATATTATTCACACACTCTGTGTATTTTCCATCTTTATGTGGCTAATTTATTGTTCTATTTATTTACTTCCTTTTTTTTCTTCCTGAGACAGGGTTTCTCTGTGAAATTCTGCCTGCCTCTGCTTCCTTCAGCAAATCCTACCAGTGTGCACAACCACCGCTGGCTTCTCCTTCTTTTAACTGATTCTTTGGGAATTTAACATCATGCACCCTGAGCATACTTATCTCTAGTCT